TCTAAAAGTTGAAATTATGCTTTTTAAAAAAGATAAGCATTATTGTTCATTTAAAAAAAAAAAAAAATCTCCTCCCAGCACTTTGGGAGACCGAAGCTGGTGGATCACGAGGTCAAGAGATCTAGGCCATCTTGGCCAACATAGTGAAACCCCGTCTCTACTAAAATACAAAAATTAGCTGGGCATGGTGGCGCGCACCTGTAGTCCCAGCTACTCGGGAGGCTGAGGCAGGAGAATTGCTTGAGCCCAGGAGGCGGAGGTTGCAGTGAGCCAGGATCAGCCACTGAACTCCAGCCTGGCTCCTGGCGACAGGGCAAGACTCTGTCTCAAAAAAAAAAAAAAAAATCTCTTTCTGTGTTTTGGGGCTGGCTCTTTGTTGCCAGGTTAAATCATGAGGTAAGATGCTATATCATTGATTTTCTAGGGAGTCTGGAATGAACTCATTTTATTAGCTTATTTCTGGAATATACAATATTAAACCTAATGTAATCCACTGTATGTAAAAGGGCTTTTAGCACCACTATTAATTACAAATATAGCACATGAAAAAAATATATATAATGGTCTGAAAATTCTCATCATAAAATTCTATATTAGCCTGAAAGACAGAAAACATTATAATTCAGATCCAAAATCATTAGTTGTTTCTCTGTTATTATGTATTTTGTTTTATGGACCATAAAATGCCTCTTTTGGGCAATGTATTTCCACAAGATATATGTTGAATACATACTAGTAGATTATGCTACTTAATATTGTTTTTGTGACATTTATTAGGATAGAAGGAAAATAACACCTGTAAACTAAACACCTTCAGCCTCTGTGTTAATAGCAGCCATACACTCAACACGAGCTTTCCAACCAAGTAGCTGTTCCTTGTTCATCTCTCTAATGGCACTAATTACTTGGATTCACACTGATTTATCTATCATTTTTTGTAGTCAGATGAAAAATTTTCAAATGTAACAAAATTATATTTCTTTGTTTTGGCAAATTATTACATTAGTGATGCCATAAAAACTGAAAACAAAAATTCCTCATTCTACATTTAACACATTTTGTGGATTTTCCTTAGAAGTAACGTGTTATTAAAGATTCAGAAATATTGTCAATGATTCATTGATTTAGGGTTGGGAAATAATCCCAAATTGCTAAATAACTTAAAAAAAATAAAGGATTCAAGTTTCTAACTCTATCCAAAATGGAGTAAACTTGCTGCAAACTGTGAATACCGCAAAGTGCAACTAAAACCCATAGACATAATACAAATGCTGATATATCAAAAATAACAGCAAGCAGCCCACAGTGTGTTTCTTGTTTTTTGTTTTTGTTTTCTGTTTTGTTTGCTTTGCTTTTTTCTTTTATATCCAGCTTTGACCCAAGCATAGGCTGACTAAGGCAGGCTACTGAATAACACAAATGGATAATAAAACCTTAAGAAAAGCATGTCCTTCTCAACAGAATTGGAAGAGTGGGCTTATCTGAGCTTCCAGAGAATGGGAGAAATTATTTTTTCCCTCTCTCTCTCTCCCTCAATCTCTCTCTTTCTCTCTCTTCTTCTCTGTCTTTCTCTCCCTCTGTATCTCTCTCTCCAGGCCTACCATGAGGGCTGCCTCAGTTACAGAGGTGCAATACATATAAATCATGAGAGAAAACCTATCCGTTAAAGAAAAGAACCAGAAAACGAAGCTCCAGTTATGTAAAGATTGAGGAAGATAAAAATCCTTTTTTTTTCTATTTATTTTATCTCCTTGCTTCATCCTGCAGGCAGGACTAGTTGGCAGCATTATGTACCAAGGACAGTGGCTAAAACCCCAAAAATATTTCTAAAACAACAGAGCAAAGACTGTGAAAGCAAAACTGATACTGTAAAAAGAAAAGAAGAATTAGTCATAGATCCCCAGAGGGGAAAAAAAAAACAATAGAAAACTACATATAAATGTAAAGGTTCAAATAATAAAAAAAGAAAGCAAGGAAAGGAGGTCAGAAAAATGAAAAACAGAATAAAACAAAAAATAATAAAATGATAGGTCTAAACACATTCATTTCCATAATTAAATTAAATGACCTAAACACACTAAAAGAGAGAAACTGCTGGGTTGACAGTTTAAAAAGCAAAATCCAACAGTATTCTGTCTTAAGAAAATTTACTTTAACAGCATAGGTGTATTAAAAGTTAATGGAGGGACAAACATCCACAATGCAAAAGAATACTAGAATGGCTTTGTTAATATAAAAACAAATCAACCTTAGAACAAAACCAGGGATAAAACACACACACACACACACACACACACACACACACACACACAGGTGAACATTTCCAAGATGAACCAGGTACCAATGATGGAAGCACCAAAGCTGCATTAGCTTTACTTACAATGGTAGATCTAGTTTTGCAGTCAGAGATCAGTACTGAACACGGTGACGTAGGAGTATGTATACTTCCTCACGTTCATTCAAAGGATAAAAGCCATATTCATTTCCATAAATTTTGTGATTTACATTATCTAGAGTAAAAGCCATATTCTTTTTACTCTAGATAATGTAAATCACAAAATTTTTCCTGAATGTCAGGAGCTTTCTTCACCTGTTATTACATCTCCCGCATCATTTGAAAACAACAAGATCATGTTGAGGAACAAAGTTTCAGAGAAGAAATTAATTTAACAGAGAAAGTAAAGGAGAATGCTACACCAATCAGGAATACAACTGCTAAAGCGACCAGTAATTTGAGAATAAGAAGTAGATTTGCCAAGCCTAAACCAACTCCTGAGAAGATTTTAGGGACCAACAGATTTGATAATTATCAGGAAGTTTCCAGTTTGTGTGTAACCAAAGGGGAAGAACTGGAAGCTCCAAGAAAAACAGAGAAAAATGCTTCCAACTCAACAAAATTGAAAAATAAAAACCTCTGATCAGTTACAACAGCAGAGAATAAAATGCAGAGCAAATTGGTGTGTGTACATGGTATCAAAGGGACCAGTATTTCTCAAGAAGTAAACCTAACTGAAAAATGAAAATCAAGACTAAAGCTCTCAGAGTTTCTGTCAGTTGCTCCAACTGCCTCCTCTGAGAAAGGGCCCTGCACACTTGGTGTGGATAGTTGGTGAAATTCTGCTCAAAAACCCCAGATAAAGGACTCTAAAGGAGACAGTGTGCTTACACTTCCTGTGCCAGAGCATACACAAACAAGTATTCCAGAAGTCCAACAGGAGAATATAATGAATCCTCAAGACCTAACAGTGGATCTCATTGCTAAGGTACCTCAAGATGGAGAAGATGAACAAGGATTTATTTTAACCCAGCAGAAATTTCAACCAATGCAGTAGAAGAATACCAATGCCACTAGAGAGTTAATGCCAAGCCCTTTACTGCCAGCTCCCATATTGGTCAAATCAGTGAATACTGAAGAAAGGGTGACATGAGTATTTGTTTAACAGCAACTTCAGTTGGTCAAGATGTCATGGGCTTATCCATTTCCAGAAGAGACGATTCTCAAACACCTCCTGATGATTTGGATCTTGTATGTGGGAAGAGATTTCATTGCAGGCTTGATGAAAATGACCACATTCATCCTGCCAAAAAATGTTCGCTCTCTTTAAGAGGTTATTGTCAAGACTATACTTCTGAGGTGCACTCAAGGGAATTGACAAGTGTTTTTGAGGAAACGGGGGAGTCTCACAAGGAACAAGATATTTTTCCTACCTCAGGAAGCACACTGACAACTCCAGAACTTCAAAAAGAGCAAGTCGAACCAAGTTTTCAGAGTAAAGGCTCTAGACCTTTACTAGACATGCATAGAATGTGCCTCAATTGCCCCAGGATCAAATGATTGCATCTGATAAGGAAGAAAGAACTGATGCAGCTCCTAAGTCTGAGCAAGACAGCAGAACATCATCCTCAGAAGCCCTACTATCCAGACCTGGCAGAACGGCATTTTTGTTTTTAATATGTTCAAAGAATAGTTTGGAGTCTGATTAACCTACTCAGGTCCATAGTAAGAAATGTCTAAAACCTCTTATACCTCCATTAAGAGAGAATTTGAAAAGATCCAACCCATTCAATGAAAGCCAGAAAAAACAAATTGAGAGTCCTCTGATCTGCTTCCATCTCCAAGTGTTATTAATACTCAATCTGAGAATATTAGCAGCTCAGCAATT